TAAATTTGAATTTTTACTGGCAAAAAAGTACCTCTCATTAAAAAAAAGAAGCAGAGAAAAATTAACAATGTTTGGAATAACATGCAATAATATGCAAGAAAAGCAGATCAAGGAAAAAAATTGCAATAGCTAATTTGTCACTTTTAAGAACCTAAACTTGAAAATATATTTAATGAAATTCCCTCTCCATATATGCGTACGAAAAGCAAGATTGCATAAATTTGTTTAATGCAAAACAATTTGCAAAGCCCAAACAAATTGAAGATGTAGGTAAAGAAATGAATTCACTATATTCTTCATCAAATTAGCTGACAGACATACAAGTAATTGATGAAAATGTGACATCGAATTGAAAAGAAAGATTGTCGGATACTTCTGGTAATTTGACTGTTAGATTTTCTACTCCAATCATTGGTCAAGATTGACTCACATGCACTCCATGAAAAGGCTCTGTTGAGCAGGAGTCTGAAGAACGGAAATTAATGATCCAAATTCGTATTCTACTGATCTTAGATCTTAGAGGAACTGTATTTTTAAATGTCTTTGGTTCATTTACATCTACATGAGGAGGCGATTTGAAGATTCTTTTGAATATTTTGAAATTTTGAAATACTTTTAGCTTATAGGTATTCCCAAAAAAATTTTCTTTCTTTAGACCAGCTTGCTTCGATATTATAATTGTTTGGTGGCATAAACATGAACTCGGCTAAGAGAACCCTTAAAGAGATGCACATTTAATCAGAGAACGTTAATATAATTTTGATATAATCAAAACCAGAAGGGTTTTAAATTAATAAGGTTTCTTTACGACGAACAAACGCGCTAGTAATCGTGTTTGTGCTCTCTTGTAAGTAATCTGAAATCTAAATTAACAGCGATGTCGGTTCCATCGCTTCTAATTAATTAATCGCTAATTATCCTTGTAATCTGGCGATTTTTATCTTTTGCGATCGTGCCTTCTATTTCTCAGTAGTTGCATGCAAGCGTTACCGCGCTTCTTTTGCTTGAGGAATTACAAAAATTTGAGGCATTGAGTCAGTCGTCTTATTGTCAATTTTCTGTTATTTTTATCGTAAATAGTACAACAACGACGGTACCATTGTTGGTTTATTGCTGTGCCTTTTTTGAACAAATTCAAATTGATTCGAGTTTATATACGTAGCTTAAGTTTTGCCAGATATAATTCAATCCCAAAAAAGAAATAATTTCAAATTTGAAATCTATCTTAAACAAAGTGTTACCTCAAACGGCTAACGAAACCGCAAAAATCCCTAAAAAATTCTAGCCTTCTAAATCTAATATTACATAGCAAGTAAAGATAGGTAGTCACGAACGCAACCACTATCAGCAAAAAAATTGAGATTTTTTTACATATGGATCCTATCGTCAACTTGAAAAAGCTTCTATTTTACTTGAATCCGTGAAAAAATTTTTCATTTCTATGGACTCCTTAAGATTCACAAACCGGGATTACCCCTTTAACGACATTGGTTCCCCAACCTTTTCTCTAGATAAATATCTAGCTTGTATATTAAAACCATTTTCAAGGAAAACTGATAGTTTTCGTACTTAACTGTGTTCAGCCTAACATATATTTTACCATTAAATTAGAAACTAATCATAATCTCCCAATCCTATATATTCTTAACTAACGTTGGGTCATTTCAAAAATCAGCAACTAGACATTGTTTACAGAGCTACACTTGCCAAAAGTTCTTAAGAAATATAATGATTTACCACTTGTCTAAAAACCTCTCAACATCTTGAGACACAAGCGGTTTACAGCATTTGGAGAGACATGACGAAAAATATCAACTGAGCTAAAAGAACAAGAAATGGACCTAAGACTATGACAAATAAATTCATCAACAATATTATTGTTGATGTTCATGTCTCTCCTTTAACTCCGCCGACTCACTCAATCAACCTGATACAGAGTAGAATGCAAGCCAGTTTCGGTTGAGCTCAGAAAATTTCTAAATAGAAATTTGATTAAAGTGTGAAATGAGCAACATTTTTTTTAAATTTCGTGAGTCTATAATGACGTATACAGCTATTCAGGAAAAATGACGATTACGTTAACAACGATACCAAGCATATTCTTATGGCATTTGCTAGTACCATCACCATGACGTAGTCGTCATCTTTCCTGATTTCGAGTATAGCTACGTAAGACCTTTAGGATAAAACCTCTGTTATCGATTTTTGAAAATAAATTTCTTCTCAGCCTTTACACGCTACCGTTTCATTATATGCTATATACACCAGATGTGTCCACCGAAAGCTGGGTGCTTATTTGATTTTCTACATAGGCGCGCGGTATCCCTCGTTCTTTATTAAGCCGTCCTCTTTATTATGCTGTTTTTAGTCGACACTTTAAATGTGGTACTAAACTGATTATTCAACTTCCAAATCAACCTAAGTTTTGTTATGTCTAATTTGTTACCAAAAAATGGCAAAAAGTATGCTTAAGTTAAACGAGTTCGTTGTTATAATAATTATCTTTATTTTGTTTTTTTTTAAATACTTTCCATATACAATATTTTAATGGAGTTTCGTTTAAATTGTAATTAAAAAAGGAAATGATATAAAGGAAAGAGAGAAATGAATCCAACACATATGGTGTGACATACGTTTACAAATAGTATTTCCTTTCCCACAATGAAACGAGAAAATTCGTTTTCTTTGATAAATGTTTTATTTTGTTAATTTAATGGGGATGAAACGAACGAGCCTTAAAAAGTGTCCTCTCCTCCCCGTCGAATCTATAATATCCCTGTATAGAACTGCTACTTATTTGACTCGTTATTACATGCACTGTCTCCTATTCCAACAAGTATTGGCCAAGTTACATTTTACGTAGAATGTGAAGTTACAGAATGTATTTTGTCAGTTTCTGTATCTCCTATATCTATAGTTTCAATCATCTGCACTTATTCACATGTTCCGGATGTCCCACTGAGAATAGCTCACAGCTTTTTCTCAGAAAAGACCATCGAAAATTCTCGTTTCTTACTCTATATTCCACCTCATAAGAAATAATAATATGTGTTCGACAACAGACGCAACAGACTGTATAATTTTAGCTAATAGTTAAGGAGGAGGAAAACCATCAAATGTAACCAAAAATCGTAGCTTAATATTTATTTTTTAACCGAAAATATTTACAAGCACATTCATAATTACGAAAAAATAAGTCTGTGACTATGTGTATCTATCTGTAACGGTGTCATTAGCGCTCATGCTTATGACGAAATCGCTTCTGAAGTAATTGCTGCCAGAGTTTAAGAGAGAACGTTTAATCGTTTGGCTCTGCGCCCTGCTTGTAGGATGCATCGGATTGCTAATAAATTCAAAATGTGTCGCAATTGGCAAGGCATTGTAATGAAACAAAACGGCACTGAATCGATCAAAATTAATAGCAGTAGTAACATTTTGACGTTTAAATTATTATCTCAGGACTGAGTTTTTTATAAAGCGTACCTGTCCTGACATCTTATTATATATTTTATATATTATTATATTTTTTTAGCACATAAATAAATTAAAAATTTGCTGAAGATTAATTATTATTTCTAAATATCTCCTTTCTATTCAAAATTTTATAAAAATAATAAGATAACGATTGAACATTTATTTATATATTTATTCCTAATTGATTGCGTAGTTATAATTTACACTCTGCGTTATTCAAATATAGTATTCTGTCGATTCGAATTAGGAATTTATATTAAAATGCTGTTCCAGAAAGTAGTCACGCAACAACAATTTTGCAAAAACGCTTTTGGTGGAAAACAAAAACATTTAATTCTCGATAACATTGTCGTCATCAAAACTGTTTATTTCTCGTAGGCTTGCTATATTTTCTAATTTTCGCATCAATTCCTACTGTCTTTTGTCTGGCGCACATTATCGTCTGAAAAGAAAAAGATGGCATCGTTTAACCCTCGGAACAAGCATCCATTTATCATTATATATATATATATATATATATATATATATATATATATATATATATATATATATATATATATATATATATATATATATATATATATATATATATATATATATATATATATATATATATATATATATATATATATATATATATATATATATTCCATTGAGTAATGTTTTTCCTGCTCTTGCAAAATTCGTACGATAATTGTTATCGATTGGGTTCCGCGCTAAAAGCTTCCAGTCGCTTTCCATCTGCAAAACCTAATGGAAATACGTTGTTCGATTGTTATTTCTTGCCTGGAGGTATCTCGAACATTGTTTCCTTTGCGGATAAGTGCTATAATCTGGTTTACGTTCTATCCTATGTATACAATAGGAAGCACAAAATCTTTTCCGATTAGCTTTCGTCGCCGTCGACCAAAATAAAAAAGATTTAGCTGTTTTGATTAATGCGCAATGCAAAACTGACTGATCACTTGCCGCTATTAAAAAATCAGACCCAGTTGGGGACATAAATTAACGTCGGCTTAATTTGGAATGAACAGAACCCGAAATTAAAACTTTTGGTTTATCTAAACTTTCGCATTTTTTCCAATACATTGGATATCAAAATTTACACAACTTGTGACATATTCAAAGGGTAAACAAAAGGAGATTTTAGTGAAGTTTCTATTGAAACCCACCGGCGCAGTGTAAACACCCACACTGTTTAGGTGGGGTTTACAATTGTTGCTAAAGAAATATAAACCCTTAATAAACCATAGAGAGAGTTGAAACGTTGGGTGGGTGCCACATGTCAGAAAGTGATTTCTAGGAGGAAATATATTTAATATATTTTTATTTTAATTATATCTTAATCAAAAAATCGTTTGGAATTTTTTCCGCTGATCAATATACCTGCAGCGTTTGAACGGAAGTCATTTTCCTCTAAAAACATGGATAGGAACGTATTTTTCACCATTGTGATTGGCGTCCATGTGTTCAATACATTTTTCGGTTCATGTGATTGTAAACTTAATTTTTTTAATTATTTACAGGATGTCGAAACTATTGAGAGGTTAAACGAATCTGGAGAGTTACGAAAGTTGTTGAAGCCATACCGGGTAAGTTGTACTAACCGACTTTCTATTTTCCTTAAAATATTTACTTAGTATGTTATCACGAATTTCCAACCGGCAGGACTATATGCTTCTGTTTAATTCGTTGTTTTCCTTTCATCTCCAGCGAGTAAGAAAGTTATTCCCATTTTCCTGGGTATTTAGTTTTTCATTTATTCAAAGTTTTAATTCCCAACTAAACACTGAAGCATAGGCATACGTACTATAGCTATACATCAAAAAAATAACAGTATAGAAATTATTCCCGTTCCAGAAGTATTTAAACGATATACAGAGTTTCTGTGTTTTAGTGACAAAACAAAAAAAACTCTTTTTATTGCAAATTGCAATTTTATTTGAAACTGTTTCAAAACACTTACTCTTTCGAGCAAACTTAAGTGTGTTGACATTGGATATGTAGTTCCGAATATACGAATAGAAGCTTCTCACACTCTTAAGAGACTCGGAAAAAACTTATTCGGAATTTTACATTTTTTTAATAATATAATGGAAGTTATAGTTAAATTGAATAATAATAATAATAATAATAATAAAGTTTATAATTTCAAGCATCAAAATAATACATGAAAAAAAAGAAAAACGACAAATCAAACATAAAGCGCCGAACTTTCAGACTTATTGTTTATATATAATATTTAATATAATATTTCATTTTTATTTTTAAAATTATCACGAGGTACATTTATCTTAATTTTAACGAGTAAGTACAAATATTTCCAAATCCAAAAAAAAATACAAAAAACAAAGTAGTAGAAATAAATGAAATTCAGAATTGGACAAAAAGTAACCGTTATAATCTCCTTGCAAAAAAGATATTGGTGAGTTGTTTTCTAAATTTGTACTATATTTAGGCGCATAGAACAAAGCCAGCGTTCTAGTCATCTCCACCCTAGCATTAAAATATTTCTAACCGTTTTGGACAGTCTACTCTGATATTAACAATATTATGCATAAAATCCACTACTTGCTTAACAGATAATTTCAACATACAATAGAAGTCACACGAAATATATTGCAGTTATATCTTCATGAGAATAAATAAAAAATAAACTTTTTTTGAATGTTTTCAACTCTATTCACATATTTGATTTATGATATTAGGGACTCCATTTGACACTCACAAACTCAAGATGGGACCACACATAGGCGTTACAGAGCATGATCGGTGACTTGGGATCTTTAAATTCTTTGTTAATCTTTATAATAATTAAAATATTTGGAGTGGAAAAGACGGGAGGGGGACAAAAACACTGCCCGCAAAAGCAGACTCCAAAAGCAATAATTAAAAGTAATAATTAGTTAGTTCATTTAATGGGGGTAGACTACAGGCAAAGAATATTAGCGAAACTACATCAAGACTTATTCTTGGCGTTATTCTAAAGTAAGATATTTACCTTACTTCACTATCGTATGGCTCGCCCTGTAATTATTGCCGTATCGAAAAATATGAAAGCCATTTAATTAATAATGTTTTTTTTTGGGCTCGAGAAATTTTTATTGTGGCGCATAACGTAAAACTTTTAATTGAATTATTTTATCGGAATTAGTCGTCATGTTTAACCACCCCCCCTCACGCGGTACAAACAATAAACAGCTTTATTGTTTTTGTGGAGAAAGTGCGAACCCGAGAGTTTTTATTGTTGCGTTTAATAGATACTTCCTTTTTATGACGGTTTTACTTAACGTTTTATTTTCCGGCCGTTGGGAAAATTCGATGCGTAGCGTTATTGCTTCAGGGGCGGACGAGGCGTCTGCGAATAAGCAAGTAAAAATTTTAATGAAGTTACGTGCCAGTCAAACCGTCGTGGCATAATTGTAACTAAAGATGTGGGAGGTCGAAAAATAGTACGATCAAAAGATTCATTTCAAATAATAAAAAATCCGACAGGGTTGCATTTTGTTAGAGACCTAGAGTACACCGGTAGAAATAAAGAGACAAAAGTCCCATCGATCTCAAGTGTGCTAAAATAGATCAAATATCTAAACAAATATCAACACTTTTCATGAAGTAAGGGGTGTTTTTTTTCGATGTATAGAACTTTAAGTTGCAATAAAACAACGATGGATTATTCGATTGACATGAATTTTATTTATCCGAAAGATAATATTGTGGCATTACATTTTAAATATGATTTCTGGCATATGACCGCCACGGCTGGCGCGGATGTAGTCCAATCTGGACGTCCAATTTTCCAACATTTGTGGCCATATAGCGGCAATAACATGGCGAATGTTGTCTTCCAAATGATCAAGCGTTTGTGGCTTATCCGCATAGGCCAATGACTTTACATAGTCCCACAGAAAGTAGTCTAGCGGTGCTAAATCACAAGATCTTGGAGGCCAATTCGCAGGTCCAAAATGTGAAATTAGGCGGTCACCAAACGTGTCTTTCAATAAATCGATTGTAGCAAGAGCTGTGTGACATGTTGCGCCGTCTTGTTGAAACCACATCTCCTGGACATCATGGTTATTCAATTCAGGAATGAAAGAGTTAGTAATCATAGCTCTATACTGATCACCATTGACTGTAACGTTCTGGCCATCATTGTTTGTGAAGAAGTACGGACCAATGATTCAACCAGCCCATAAACCGCACCAATCAGTCAGTTTTTCTGAATATAACGGTGTTTCGACATACACTTGAGGATTAGCTTCCCTACAAATGTGGCAGTTTTGTTTGTTGACGTAGCCATTCAACCAGAAGTGCGATTCATCGCTAAACAAAATTTTCTTATGAAAATCGGGAACCACGGCAATCTCGTTTTGGGCCCATTCGACGAATCTACGCCTTGATGATCGTTTGGCTTCAATTCTTGCACGAGTTGGATTTTGTAAGCACGTAAACCAAGATCCTTCCGCAAAATCTTCCATAAAGTGGATGGACACAGATCCAATTCCTGTGCTCGATGGCCGATGGACTCATTCGGGTCTTCCTCAATGCTACGCGCTACAGCAGCAATAGCTTCTTCTGTATGCACCGTACGGCGTCTCTGGGAATGCGAGTTATCAATAAGAGTAAACGTGGTGCGAAAACGTTCCATGGTTAATCGAATTAACTGCTCTGATGGACGATTTTGTAAACGATAAAATGGACGTAGTGCGCGATACGTATTCCGCACAGAACCATTATTTTCGAAATAAAATTGCACTATTTGCAAGCGTTGTTCAGGCGTGAGTCTATCCATAATGAATTGCCAAGCCAAACTGAGAATAAATAACTTGAAAGCTGTTAAATCGGTCGCCATCTTGAACAGTAATACCAACTTAAAGTTCTATACATCGAAAAAAAACACCCACTAATATCCAATAAACATTCGTCATAACAGATCGTGGACTAAACCAACCGGAGAAATCACGTTGAAGGAAAGTGCCAAACACCCTTCCTCGCATTTGGTGCATATAATGCCGTATATATCTTAAAAATAGTGACTATAACAATAAACATAATTTTTGTAGATAATTTTATTGTCTACAATTTATATCGGAAATATTTTTTATATTTGCAGTTTTTGAGAAAAATCCAAAAAAAAATGAAAATTTTTATTTCTGCCATAGAATAACTTTTTCTGATACACATGGGAACGATGGGGACTATTAACATATTGTTTCTACCTGTGTACCCAAGGTCTACACCAAAATCCAACTCCCTCTTAATAATTAATATTTAATTAATTATATTTATATCTAATTTGACTAGTTTAAACCAATCTTAACCACCGGCAGCTCCTAAAAATTCGTAAAGTGTTATTTATATCACAAATATTTTAATGAAATATTTAGTGGTAACAAAAATGTATTTTTAAATATAATTAAATAAATAAAATAAACCGGTCACTGTATTATATACCAACCGCTCACTAGATGGCGGTTAATAAAAACCAATATTACGGGAAAAGTTGAATAGATAGAAACCCTTAACAAAACTTAAAGAGGCTATTCTATTCAAAAAATGAGAGAAAAATTATTCTAAGGGCGATTTACGTAATACGTTTGAGGATCCTAAAGTTCATTTTTGATATTATAAAAACTGCGCAGTCGAAGATGAAAATTATGTGATTTTTTTATTATTTCCCCAAAAAAAAAAATGATAAAGGAAATGTATAAACATTTCTTGGCGGAATCATAATGAGCAACAAAAACACTCTGCACAAATTAAACGGTTTTGAAAATGTGTCATTTTAATTTACGCACACACACATACACACACGATTACCGCAAGGCGTGTGACGTTAAACTAGAATTGGACCCATGGGTATTTTTTCACCGTTTTCGATTTTTGAGGGTAAATAATTTGCTGTTGTATTGTTTATCCTTCTTTGAACTAAGCGGTTGTGATATATTTTGATTATTTTTGAATTTATTCTTTTCTGTGCAAGTTTGTATATTGCACATTATCTGATTTTGTTTTATGGATAAATAATAACTCAAAGTTATTATATAAATAAAATATATTAATAAGATTGTGTCAATTGTGTATATTTGTGCTTATTATTTGAAATAATAAATATTTAAGTATATTAATGATTGATCTAATGATTTAGTTGTCACAGTCTTTTTTTTTCTTTTTTGGTGTATTGTGTATTTATTTTTTGTTGTTGTAAGTAATAAATACTCCTGAAAAACTTGATACTGCTATTTTCGAATTAATAAATTCTTAAACATTAGGAAATACTATTAGATTAGATTAGAAGTCTCAAATATTTAAAGAAAATATTGTTTGATCAAAACATGAAATATTTAAATGATTTCAGTAAGAATTATATCGGTAAGTAAAGTAAGAAATTCCTATCATTAGCCGACTTTTTCCATCGTAAAGTTTGCCTCATTTTCTATCGCACCGGGTCCATTTGAGGTCGAGCTCGCCGAAACGCACATCTGCTGGAATCGTTTTTCCAACTGTAATGAGATGCAAACGCAATTGCACGCACGCGCGTCGCGTTGATTCGAGACGTTTGCCGGTTTTATTTATCTCTTTCATTCTCATTTTTGTTCCCTTTTCAGAGCCCAGACGCGTGCAGCACATGTCAAGTATGCGGGGGTTATCGACTTCTCCCCTGTCACGTGTGCAACGGCAGCAAAAAATCCGTCCATAGGAACCATTTCACGACGGAGTTCGTCGCGTTAAAGTGTATGAGCTGTGATGAAGCTGGACTGATTAAATGTACCGCGTGCACCTAATGATCGGGACTCCTTGCGCAACCCGTTTCTTTCGTTTTCAGTACTCGATCGTCTGTCTAGAGGGTCCCGGTTTGTCCCATAGCGGCTTGACCGAAAATTACTTTGATATCTCATTAGACAAGCGCAATTTTTTAATATTAGTTTTACGCTGACAATTTTTACAGGATGTTAATTCGCGAACAAACTGACGAGTGTGATGCAGGACGTTTTCATTAATTTATTCAGGAAATAGACTTTGTTCCAATCTAAACAAAACTAAACAACAGCAGATTTTTGCTTCAATTAATTAATGCCAACCGAAAAGCGTAATCACATTATTATAACACATTAACGCGATAATCTAACCAATTTTTACCATATCCCATAAAACATAATTATAATTAGCGTTACGGAACAATAAAAAACAAATTTTGCTAATTGACTTGTACAAATTCGTCCTTAAAAGTATCAATTATTACTCGAAGTACCAACTTGTGATACTAATGAGGAAATAGTGGATTGCGAAACTGTAGGCTTCAAAGGTTTTATCTGATCTGATTCAAGGTCCTTTTTACACTCTTTTCTGATCAATTTTAACCCATCTTTATTTTCATTTTCTAGACCTTTCAAGACCTTCTTTCAATGTTAGGAAGGAAATGAAAAGGATAGTATTTCTTTTTCCTATTATTTCTTAATTTTTAATTCTCTGTAGAAGAGAATGGGACTTAAATATTTTAACTAAATATGGACTATTATGAATAAACGCTGTTCCAAACCAACAAAAACAGACAAACATAAAACTAAATACTATGAGTTGGTTGAACCGGTAAATGTCAATGTCAAATAAATTGACGAAGCTCGTCCCCAAAGTAGTCAGTATCCTTCGTCTAGAGCTTCATGAATTTATTGTCAGTGTAAAACTAATATAAGGAAATCTTGCCGACGTTAGCAACTGGCAACCTCAAAACCGCATTTCATAGTTACATCTCAATGGATACAAACACTAAGTAACACTCACTTTGAATTGTGGTTGCAGATTGGTGAAATTGCTATTGAGGTTTAGATGGAATCTATATCGTTGGGTTTTGCGGATACGAAAATTGTGACAGACATGTAGATTTAGGGTTTGATCATGCAGAGTAATAATTATTAAAGCGTTACAAAAACACTGTCTGCAATTATCGACTATTATTATATATGTTATATATATTATAGTTCTGATGAGGCGGAATTCCCTAGGACATTGGAGGTAACTCAAAGTTACAATAATTTAATGTTCGAAACAAAGTGACAACAAAACAATAATTTTGGTAATGTCCCCAAGTAAAACCGCGTTGACCTTGAAAATTTTTAAGTAATAGATTTTTTCTTCTGTGATTAATTCGAAACCAATAGAATTTAATTTATCATGTTTAACTCAGTCTTTAAAAATATTTTAACACAAAACTCCTTTCCGACAATGGCGAATGCTCCGTATTAATCTTATACTATGGATTTCTTACTCAAATTTGCTCAAAAGTGCGATGTGTCGTCTCTTTAAGTTGGATAAATGATGATCGATGGCCACATGATATCGTTGGAAATATCGTAAATTTGGCGTAATTCGTATTTTATATCTTTTTTGTAAATATATTTCTTAAATAAATATTTATTACGCATTGTGTTTCTCTTACCACCTACGTTTCGGTGTGCTGGATGTGCTGCCTTTTTATTAATGAATTTAATAAAAATAAAGTTCAAGTAAAACTAACTACAAGATTTTTACACATACTCCATGTTTTTAACAAATTTAAGTTATTACACCACGTACATTATATTTACTTAAACGATTAATATACCTCAGTTCGATCAATTGTACCTATTAGAAACGTTTCACAGGGTGTTGTATCACTTGTCTTTAAAGAGTGGATGTATTCTATTCACGAAAATATGTGTGTATAGGTCTAATATTTTAAACAAAAAAAAGGCTAGTCTCGCCGTCCGAGGAATATGATTAAATGATTATGATATGATATTATATACGATATGATTAAATATGAAAATATTGGAGTCTAAATATAGGCCGATAACACAAAACTTTATTCGCAACATAAAGAAATTCTGTTAATATGGGGCTCGAACAGCTTGTCGAAATATTTACTTAACAATGGGACAATAATTTCCTCAATAATAGATTTTTTAAAACAGTAGTAAATATTAATGCTGGATTTTAGATTTTTTTTTAATTCTGCGAAGGTCTGCACTTTGTCGAACGGGATATTTTGTCGGTTAACTATTCAGAAGGCGACGTTTTGCCTTCCTGGAATATATGAAATGGAAAGCAGAAATTGCCTCCAGGAATTAATTTGCGAACCATTGAAATATTTACTTTAGATGCAGTTGACTATAATTTCCAATTTCATTTAAATGCTTCCTCGAACAAACCCCAAACCCAATAAACACAGTTGCGACTTCTAGAAAGACATTTCTACCGACGAGTGGGTCGAAAATCAAATGCCGCAAGCTTACACGAATATTTTGCCACTCTAACCAAGCTGACTGTAACAAAACCTAAGGGCACACTTTAAACAACCATATCTCAAAGCATGCAGTGTTCGTATATCTGTTTCGATTAGTTGGTTACTTGGTTAGTAAAAACCCACCGAGATCACAGCAATCAGTAGTTTCACTTTTAAGATCAATGAAATATCCCTGTTGCAAAATACTAGTTTCATCTTCATAAAACTATTGCCTACTCCTATTTTTTTTTGTCTTGTATTATTTATGTTAAGTATTTTTAGTATTTATATTTTCCACTCTTTCTACTGCTGGTGTTTTTCGCATTATTTCACAACACCATAACAAAAAAATCAACAAAAAAAAATCTATTAACACTAATTAATGAAAACCATTACTATAGCTCTTTCTTTAATTATCATTTATGATTTTCAATAATTGTATTGCAAAAGCGAAACAAACATGTATTGCTTATCAGTTTTGCTGACAAAATTTCACCAATATTTGGTGTACCACCTACCGGACATATTGTCTCCCAAAATCGTACAGGTAGGTAGTACTAAGATTTTGTTATTTTTATTTTTGCTTGAATTAATTGAGCTATTTCAAATAACAAATACCAAATTTCAACAAAATAGGAAATACTATTTAAAATTAATTAACTTACTTAAAATTGCTTCAGCAAACCATACACGCCAGTGTTCTTGTTGAAAAAAAAAATGAAGTCCCATTTTATTATATTTTATACAGGTTCTTTATTGAAAATTTTTCAAAAGGCAGTTTCAATATTATACAGTAGAACTTCAGTAATGCGGATGAATAAAAACAGAGGATTGATAAAAACCGGGGCAATCCGGATAAAAATTCACCAAATACACATTGTTGTAGCATTAACACTAAAAATGTAAACATTTACTAACACCTTAAAACCAAAAGAAAAAGGACACCCACAGGCAGTTCTTACACCTACTGACATAGAACGACAACGAAAATAATGCAAATAAATGGTTTGCATTATTGTAAAATGTAACTCGTCGATGCGCATATCGGTAAATGTTAATAAGGCTAACATTTAGGACTTATGAAACTAAGATTTAAAAAAATCTGTAAGTTTTGTTTGTTTATGTTTGGTTCGTAAGACGGACAAAACATTCAGTTCAGCACCATTTTCTTCTGCCCATATATACATGTACCAAAGCAACGAATAGCTTCCTCATCTTTAATTTTTAGATCAATTCTAACACCATCCTCGTCACCCTCTTCACTGCCACTCTCACTGTACAGCGAAAGGGGTCATCATCGTTGATCTCTGTTTCTTGCAAAGGATCACTTTCAGTGGCAACAGTCTCATTTGCTTTGCTCATTACTGGCGGTTTCAGATCTTTGAATAAGTAAAGGCAATGGGATCAAATCTTCGGGGTCCCAATCAGAGTTTGACTCATCAAGATCTGGATGAAAAAATATTTTGTTCCAACAACTCTAAATTAATAAGTCTTTGCGGTAAAATATTTTGAGCCGGATTGCATTTTGATCCATCAGTTGAATTAAGGGTGTGGTATTAGGCGGAAGAAACATAGCCCCGATATTTACATAATCATTAATCAATTGATCTTCTGTTGAATGACTTCGAGCATTATCTTTCTGAAATGTTTTTACTTGTTGAACAAAAGATTCGTGAAACCATTTGAGAAATAAACCTGAAGTCATCCACGCTTTATTGGTAGCATGATATGCAACTGGAATGATCCAATTTTTAAATGGCCTCGGATTTTTTGATTTGTCAATAACCATCATCTTTAGCTTATGATGTACCAAAGTACGATCTGGCAACATTTTCCAGAACAGTGCTGATTCGTCTGCGTTGTAAAGCTGATTTGGTTCCACCTGCATCTCCCTAATTTAGTTGGTTAATTTCTGAAGAAAAGGCTTAACAACACTTTTGTCGCTAGATAATTTTTCCCCACTAACTTTAAGGTTCTGAATAGCATGTCTCTTTTGAAATTTGGTTACCCAACCTCAACTTGTGTTAAAGTTGTTATCACCACAACATTTTGCATAAAGTTGTATCGCCTTTTCTCTAAAAATATGGGATGTAATGCATGTTGCATGATGTTTCACGTTTTTCCCGCTGCATAATAAACCACCCGTATAACTTAGTTTCCATTCAGTCATTTCAAAACTCTCAAAACAAAATTTACATTACATGCTTAAAAATTCATGCTAGCTATACAATATACACACTTCTTCATTTGCCCACCTTGGCAATACCTTACCACTAACACCATTTTTTAATTTTTCTAAAATATCATATTTTTAGTGCATCATAGTTTAGTGTTAAAGTTTTGATGCTCTCTTTTAATTTTGTCCGGATTACTGGAGAATCCGGATTAGTGCAGTTCAGATTAGCGAAGCTCTACTGTAGTCAATTTTTCTTTCATTTCATTTAGCTCAAAAATTATTGATTACAATAAAAGGCTAAAAATAGCTAGGTGGTATGACTTTGTTTTGAAGAAGCTTAAAACTCGTAAACATTTATTTTGCGTTTCAAAATAAGCATATTTCAGTGATTCGCCTGTGGCTAAAATCTTGTTTTTGGCGTGGGATGAAACGAACCGAGTTTTTCTTTAGGCAAATTCGGGAACTTACCGAGAATTAAATGGCTAATTTTGCCATCCTGTCAGTGAAGAAAGTAATGAAATTATTTGAAAAGGAACCGAAGGATTCGGTAGTCAAAAATATTTCTCAAATCTGTCTTTTTTAATACAGTTTCGTTTTTTCGCTCTTTCGGCTCACCAGTAAATCATTTTCATAAGACACTATATGATCACTGAGGACAAAAAATTAAACATTTTAAAATTTTTATTAAATTTTACTTTAATACTATAGTTCGTTTCTAAAATGAAATTGACAATTGAGCGACTAGACCCTGTTTCCTTTATTGTCCTTTAAAGATGGTGGGCATCTTACTTGTTACTTATTTCCTCATTTGTTTCGCTCCAACTATTATAGAATATTTAATGTCAGAATTCACAAAAGTGTCGAAAATGAACAGGTTAGACATTCTACTAATATCTAGTAAATTATTTAGCAAACACCCTGTATAATTATTTCTATATGATCGGGAAAATTGTGATGACAACATGGTTCGAAATGATCCCAGGTATCGTCCAATAAAAACAAATTAAAGGATTAAAATGGACAAATGATTAACCTAAACAATATACATTTTGCAAAATTGATTCTTTTTATCGTAAATTTCCTCTAACGAAAATAAAAACTGCAAATTCTAAATATTTTCGCTATATTTTCGCGGTGGCGATTCAAGCAGCAATTATTTATTTACGAACGTTACTCTAAAATTTATTTTATACTCGCGTCTGTTCGACAAAAGTTAAAAGAAACTCAATGTTGGCGAATTGGGTATTTTTCTAACACTAGGGTAAATAAATAACTTATCGCCAACGCTTTCAAGCGGACGAGTGCGGTGTAGAAATTGAAACATTCCAAACTATCTTAATCGAATTTTCCGGAAACTCGATTTTTCGCGGGAATCACTCTACGCTGATTGAAATTTATCTCTCGAATTCATATTCCGCAATATTTCGAACGCGAACAACGAGGCAAGTGGTTTCGATTTTGGCCGGATGCGATTGTAGTTTAAGCAAACATGAGATGGCGAATTGAAATGTCGGAGTTGAGCCGATCAAAATTCAAGTGCCTATGCTTTCGAGTTATTTGTGCTGTATATAGGGATCACCTTGCTGCCTTATAGATCAAAAAAACGTCTGCAAAAAAGTTCCAAAAACAGATTTCAACGGGCAAGCATCTAGTCCAACTTAATGTTCCCTCGTTTGTTAATACCTGAAGATGCTCGGGCTAGAGAGTGAAATGATTCCAGTTAGCTTTGACGTTGAATTTCTCTTTCCTAAAGTCCCTGTTCCTGAGACTATTCGTCATCTCAGACATCTTAAATTCCGAAAAACTACCTGCCTACCTATGTAGATGATCTTTTTGTTAGTTAATTACACATCCAGGATCTATTCAATCGTTTCTGAAACCTGAATCTCCGAAAATCAGTGTTTCTCCCAAATAATTTTTATTATCAGGATATCATACTTTCGATCTAGAACCACTTGCGCAATGTGACCCCGCTCT